CCTGGATGCGACGAAATTTCCTTTAAGTTGCCACCAGCTCGATGTTCATAGGCTGATAGCCGTGCAACAAAAATATCCCTCGCAACGATCGGTGATTTTCGTTACTGCTTAATTACACTCTGATGGCTTGATATGACATTAGACAACGGCACGCAAATGAGAATTGCAAGCATCAAGTCACAAGTTCATTTCAGCTTTCCGCAAATGTGGCTTCAACGAAAGCGCAGGAATCGGTAAATAACCAAATCCGAGAATCAGTACACTTTTATCTACCTGTGGATTTAATGCGAGAACTATTGTCATTTGTACCCAAAAGTATTTCCAAATGAGTTCTGCTGATCCAGCACTTATATACAAGTCCATGCAGACAAACCAAACACGCTTGTTATGGATTAATTTGCAGTCATGCTAAACCGAGAAACCACTTCGGACTTGAGCGTTGAATGCTGGGCGTTGGGCACCATACTTTTTAGATGGAATTTTCAAATCTAAGGCAGTGGGTGCCTCAGTATAAACTACTGTGATAAACCGATACATGAACCGGAAGTTATGGACGTGCAATCAGAATCTGAAGGACAGGCCTGTACCAAAAAACATCTTCACAAACTGATTTCATTCGGAAGCCTTATTAATTATTTTCATACAGTACACTCGTACTATGTATTTCTAATGCATTAAAAGCAATAGTACATTGTTCTCCCTCCGTGAATTTTTCCAGAACAAACTTATGGAATATCACTTATGAAAACAAGAAAAAGTTCATCAGTAGAAAGTTAGAAAAGGGTTTCAGCATCACTGTGCTGGATTTTAACAGAGATTTTAAAAAGTAATACGATTTTATTGCCGTGCCTTGTAGAAGCAGTTGTAGCGGATCCTGATATATGCGTGAAGCGAACCACTGTCCACCAAACTAGCCGAATAAACCGGAGACCCCCAGTGAACCATGAAGGGATAAGCCCTTTGCCAAAGTGAATGGCCAGGTACTTTTTGAGATAGAACATAAGAAATACTTTGTGCGACACATTTCTTTAAAGATAACAAACTAGCAGTCTAACTGGGTTTGACATACGTCTCCACTTATCACCTGTTTACTTACACAAGTAGGAAACAGCACTGATGAGTACGTGAAGAATACGTCTGGCTGATGAGTCTGAATGTGGGTCAGAGGTTTATAACAATCCTACAAATAGCTCTTTGTCAACAAGCAAGCCTCACAATTCTATTTTCTACCAAAAGCCTAAAATCTGACGGTAGTAAATGAGGACACAGAGATTTCTCGCGTTTTTTTAGAACATTTCTTCCTCTACATTGCACTTCAGGAAATTCCACATTCTTCTGCATCAAGCTATTTTTAACCATGTCATGTGGGGCGACTGTTTTGCTTTTTTGCCCTGCCTGTTCTAGTTTATTCAGTTTTTCCCATCCGGACATAAATTCGACAGAAAATATAGGTTCCGAAAGCTCATAAGATGTAGCAAGGTCGGTACATTATTCGCATCTTTTTACGCTTTTGACAACGAAGCATATTTTATGTTTCGGAAAGATGCCACTCCTACACCTTGCCTTGAAGTACACAGCTATATGATTGCACTAGGAAGGTAATCGATTTGTTTGTAGTCATTATTTTGATAGAAAACTGTGAGCAGGATAATGCCAAAAGGAAGACGAAGATTAAAAAAATACATTGGTTGACAGGTTGACCTTTCATGTTCAATGAACGTCACTCTCAGCAAGTCATGTGAATTTTCATTTTTCACATTCTGTCAGTTAATGACTCAAAAACCCATACTTCACATAAGCAGAGCTATTCTACGCTATGGTTAAAGTGAAAAGCTAATTAGAATTCATGGAAGAAGTAACACAAGCCAGGAAGGTAGCAACAGAATTTCTTTGTTTATGCAGTATCGAAGGTATTGAATGCCCTTAGGTTGTTCACTTGTCAGTTAAATAGAATATCAGTTAGATGCCGGACGAAATTTGAGTGCGGTTGGCCTCAGAGTGTGATACTCAAATCTTTTGTTTGTTTCCCTGTATTCAAAGAGATGTTTCACACTTCAAAGGATTTCTTCTGTATTAGGCTTGTCTGATCGATAACATTTCCCAGTTTAACGTCTGTAGTTCGGTCCACTGTGTTCTTCAAATAGTATGTCTCTGATTTCATCTGCCATTTCCTCGTGGTTTCGTAAGGACCTTGGATGAAGTGGATCGAATCTCGAATACTGAAGTACTTTGGAGGTCAGACATCATTTGTGGTTCAGGACAGTCTGATGTAATGAATGACCGAAGTACATGTCCCAAAGCGAATTGTCTACGGTTTGCTGAAGAAGGGAACTGTCTTCAGATACTTTTCAGAGATGGGCCTAATGCTTTAAGGAGTGGCCTGGAAAATGGCTATCAAATCACACGCGAAAATATTTGCTTAACGCTTCGGTATGCTGCAAACTAAACGAATTATTTGGAAGGAACTTAATCCCACCAACTCAGTCTTGACCATGTGGACTTGGACAAATTGAGGCCTTGTGGGTCACCAGAGTACTCACGGATCTACCTGCTCCATTTTTCACTAAGTACCTAACCAAAATGTTGATCCACAACAATTGCATTTTGCTGTTCTGTGGTTGTGCGGTACCGCGCTGAAAACTTAATGAAGTGCCCGATGACGCCAGTACCCCGATGACAAACATATAACTGGTGTCAGTGTCCATTTGTTATGTCAAAATGTGTACACCACATGATGGCTCGCGATAGATCTCTCATTCCCTCAGACTTGCACCGGCATGCAGTACTATATTTGTGCCAATGCAAACGGTACGTGGCTTATTTCTGTGCGCAAGCATCCGGCAGTCTGACCACTGCTGACCGATGAATCAAAGTCAGGTACCGGCCATTCGCAGTTTCGTATGAGCATTTGTAAACAGGAGACCATAACAGCCCACTGGATTGCAATAATCTTGAAACTTTATGGGACGCTTAAGTCACAATGGGCTTTTTACTGAGGGAAACGCCCCCCTAGACTGACTCTTGTTGCGTTCCCAAAATCCTCTGTTTGTTGGGAACACTCCAGGTTTTCTGAAATATTTTCCTCAGCGAGTCACTGCATAAAAGCTGACGTAGGAAAAGTCATATGAGTGGACGCCAGAGACTGAGTGTACAACCAATGATAGGGAGAAAACGGCTGAAAGGTAAAGAACCGAACGATTTACTCGCGAGCGTCAAGTTGTGGCCTTTTTTCAAATCCTGCAACTGAGACCACGGATACCTTTCACCTAATATGATCAATAAACTTTCAGGCAGTTGAAAAATTTCCGTGAAAGTGGAATACAAAAATGGTGTTTTCCACTAAATTCTCTGAACTGCTCGATAGACCTTAATTTTCTCCTCGCAATTTTATTTTATTTTACTGCATTTTCCCGCTTAGTTTTAGATTTTTACCAACTTTTGCGCTAACTGGACAACAAAGGTTCCTGATTGTCGGTTAGCAAACTATATTAACTGGCGTGTGCCCTTACTCATTCCGACAATTTATGCATAAATGTGATGATATCTCGTCAATTTCAAATGCGTGTAAAATGTGATTGTTGACTGCTGAAAATAGAAAATGGACTGAGTATTAAACGGGCGATTGGTAGATTATTGGTTTACTGGTTTGAATTTTATAAACTTTTTCCAAATAATGCGAAGTATGAAGGTTAGTGCGGCATGATTAATGCAGAAGTTTAGAAAAGCTCTGCTTTAAACAAGCATAATTTGATTATTTTTGTAACTAAGAAAACATTCTACCTTATCAAAATATCTCTTTGGCTGCGTGAATCTTCCAGGTGCAGTGTAGTTTAGAATCCTAGGTTCGTTGAACGTGGTCCCAGAATATTTTGAGGTTTTGTCCGCCAACCTATGATAAGCATCAGATATAGCCGTGTATCTGCGCTTTTCTCAACTATGTGGACGGAAAAGTCGCTTCTGAAAGAGGATCATATACAGTCACTACCAGGAACAGGATCCAAAACTCTAGGTTATCGCCTGCTATTTTTGCGACAATATTCATCACATTCATTTGAACAGAGGCCATATTTGCATCTGAGTTCTCCGATGGAGACGACTTGTTCACCTCGGACTGTCGAATTGTGTTAGACAGACCGCATGGCCGGATTGAGTGAAGAGGAGTCAAAAGGGTATCTCGTGGCGTTCACCTTGAATATGATATTTTAGTTTTCCGTTTTCTTACAGAACTAACCAACCCATGACAAACCTAACGGTTTGATCGTCATTAATAGTAGTTCATCACTATGCGTTCCTATCCGGCATGAAGTTAATCCATCAGAATGTGTTTTCTGCACAGCGGAGGGCATCTACACTCAGAAACTCATATTCCTTAGAAAGTGACTTAATTTAGTTCTGGGCTGTGAGGTAGATTTTTTCAGGACGGCTGATTGGTTGGATAAGTCCGCAACCTAAATTATGAAAAACATCTTGTCTCAGTGGTCTCAGTTGTTGTCAGTTGAAATACCTTGGCCGTTCTTTAAAAAAACAACGCTTTTTCCAGAGTTTGATAGAAAGGATTTTGAAACTTTGGATTTGAAGACATCAGTGTTTACTCTTTTACTGCACCACTTGCATGTGTGAAACGATTCTCTAGTTGCATAGCAGAGTTCGCGGTTATGGAACTCCTTTTATTCCTCGTGAATGCCTGGCGCTTTGTCCTTTAAAATCCAAGAGGAACGTGTTTCCAGTGAGACTGGGACAGGTTAACGTCCTTTGAATATCTCAACAGAATTCATCCATAATAGCTTTCGGTTTTATTGCGCGGCAGCTGTAAGTGTACCGGGGTGCACTTTGTCCTAAGGTATGCATGTTTTTCAGTGCATACCAGACTGATGTTGATTGGCCGCTTTAGGCATCCCGCCATGTGATGTGGTCGGTCCTGCCAGGTGATTGGTGGTTTACTTTGTGTTCGGGTAAGTACCGTGACCTAAATCAGAATGGATCCATGCATGCGCACACAGGCGAAATATCCACTATAGCGCATGTGCACACGGAAACCTCACGTCTAGTGTTCCTTGACACGCCACAAACTAAATCGATCTCAACCCCAGTGGAAAAATGGCAAGACCAGGTACGTTAGCAATACACGAGGTTTTCATATTATATAGTTTATAGTATACTTGACAACTTAATGTATAATATTATCATTATTACTACTATCGACAGGCATTTCGATATGCCACCTCGAAGCGTGTTTTGCATTTCGTCTTCATTTCCCAGGAGAGAGAAAAGATGTGAAAAGCTTAGGTGGAAAGGGTGTGATTAGTCTTCTGATCATGAAGATTAGGACACTATAAAAACATGCCCTTGAATTCAAAAACTCTGTAAAACGAGATCGCCACAAAAAATACTGCATGATATGCAGTGACGGGTTGTCAATCTTCAGATATCTTCAAAGTCATACACAAAGGTCGTGACAAATAGTACAAATGTAAGCGGAACCGCATAGATAATATTCTACCGAATTGCCTAAAGCTCACCGGATAGTAGTAAAGGTTTTGATTAAACCTTATCGAACATGTGTAACAATAATAAAGTGACTAATTCGAAGGGCTAATGGGTGATGTTCCATAGGTTAAACGGGCTGATATTGTGGTGCGGATCAGATAGCTTTGAATCGAACGAACTAGTCATATGCTTAGTTTCTTCGGTTTGGCACAGCTGTTCTCCGGAGCAGAAGCAGAATCGTAAAAAACGCAGGATTCGCCAGGCAAAATAATAGGTTATGTAATAGAGTTTTTACTGGACACTTTTCTTTCAAGTATTCAATTATTAGAATAGGGGAAATTAGTCGTGTCTCACTAAAATTTCACAGTACAGGAGCTGCTACAGGGCGCTTCACAATACAAATCCCTACTGCATGCAAACCGACCATTTATTTAGAATGAATTACCCTATGCCACCCAACCACTCGAATTTATCTGAACAAGCACCCAGTACAACAGAGTCTATTTCAGCCAGGCTGTGAAAACCATCGCAGACGGCAAAACAAGCCGTCTACTAGATCATACTCAACTACAAACAAACTCAGACACCTAGATGAGGGTCACACAGTTCCCTGTTTCAATCAACAAAATCTTCTGTGTAAGATTCTCAGCCTTATAGTCGCTCCCTAACTGTACTGGCCTCACAAGATCTTGTTGGAACCTTTTCTCACAAACCTTTCATTTCGGATACAAACAGGACCCCCCTGCAAGAGAATCAATTTTCACGTTATCTGCTCTATTGTTTTTTGCCAAGTTACCACAAAACAAACAGATGATGGCGTTTATTCGTCCGCCCTTGAATGATTCCAAGCAAATCATTACAACGGAATACATGGGATAAGAACCTATTATAATGGATGCTCGCAGTTCTATAAGAAAAAAGATGTGATCACGGAATTCGCTTAAAGGATTCGTCTTACTGCTGACTCTCTGTGTAGCAATGCACCTTCAGTTGGGCAAGCTAGCTGCGTAACTTAATAGCGTAAAATGGAACTTCCCATCTATGAACAATAACGGCCTCTCTAGCAAGGTGAAATACGCTCGGCATGTTTGAGGCTGTGATATGGAGTTGGTTTTGCAGTGTACGATCAGCGTTTATGGAAAGTGGCAGTTAGTACGTATTGGGACGTTTGAATTTCTTTTTTTAACTGGTTGTTAAGCAGAACTTCGCATGTATGTTTGCCCAATGCGTGCTACTGGGCTGTTGTATTAGAAGGTAAGGGTTCCACAATTATGGGCGATACTGACTCGGATGTATCAGATGGGTGGTTACGCTCTCTTTAACTTTCCCAAGTATGCTCGAGGCTTTGATGAAGAAAGTATGGTCGGATAGGCCAAGCATTTCAGAAAACAGTCTTTCTCTAGTACTTGTTATGCCAAACTCTTCCCCAGGACTGGGATTTTGTTTAACTTTTGCAGATATTTGACAGGGACTCATCGTGAATCCATAGTTTGGATGTACATTCATCCGTGCATCTTAGTAGTACACAATCTTTCAAGTAGATTTTGTCGTGCGCGTGGCTCACATTGCGTAATTTTATGTCAGAAATACAGTGGAGTGAACATGCAAAATGGACGAGGGAGTACTAGACTGTTACCAACTGCCGTGAATTTGTAGTGCTGTGTGTAAACGGACTCACAATTTGTCAGTCTGTTTACACTGAGGCTTCTCGCGATATGAAGAAAAGATGTGATCAAGCTATATATTGAGTTAATAGGAATATGACGCTTAATTCCAGGAGAATGGAGGAACTTCGGAAGTTTTCTTGTGGACTACACTTTGATGTCATTTATTTCAGTGTGCAATAAGCATGAGTGGTGTTGAACTCTGGCAAACATTTTCCAGGAGGCTTCACACTCAAGCTTATGGTCAGCATCGGATAGTTCAACAATTTCTCGCTGTCCGCATTACCTAGCTGTGTCGGAGTAAGAAATTGTAATGCAGAAACAAACCATTTTCCTAACCGAAATGTCCAGTTCATTAGTGGTTACGCAATTGTAGTCATGTAATGGTTCCGCTTTTATCCCATTTTTCATCTCAACACTGATTAGCTTGCGTGATATGATGATAAAAGTAACTTTCATAACGACCCATATTGATTCCATGGGGAACGCACCAGCATGTCAGATCTGTTGTACAGCAGCGTGATATTGCATACCTGAGTCGTGGGAAATGGTGTTTGGCATGTGAAAGGCCGGGTGTTTCACTCAACCTGTGTTCACCATTTATCACTGTTTCTACTGATAACAAATGGTATTCGACGACAGTGTGATAGAACCATATGGGACAATACTATTTTATGTTTACATACGTGACAGTTAGCTACTTATCAACTCCAATTTTGAGTACACTGTCAAAAATGCGCTGGCAAAACATAGTAGAAATGCTTCAGAGAACAAAAACGGGAATCTGTGGTGTGTGTAACGAGAACACATTATACTGGATGAACCCTAATTCACTTTAAGCAGTTGACACAGAAGCACCTCATGAAAGGTCAAAATGGCTTCAGCAATGTGTGGCAACTCTGAACATTCTTCTCTATTATCACCAATCTTCTCATTCAGCTGAATTAGTCTCTCTTAAGTTACAGTGGAGAGAAAATAACGTATTCATATCAAGCTGTTTCTAGTTACGAAGTAAAACCGCAGGTTCATTTCTGCTATCTTATGAACAGCTACCTCATAATTTTTAGTTTCATAGAACAGGCTACATTGTATTCAGATAGATCACATCGCTCATAAGATTACTAAAATCTCTTTGATATCGCGAGTATCATGCCAGCTGAAAAATCAGTGAGGCCTTTTGCGGCCTACTCAGTTGGGAGAGGACATTACAAACGAGAGATTCAGCCGGGTTCAGCTGACTCTCCCACTAAAACCGGACAACAGCTCCACAGAGCAGGTCATTGGTTGCAGCCGTCAGTGCCGGAGTTTGCAAAGAAGCGTATCTTTGTAGATTCCAATGTTCACAAACTGTTTGCCCCTAGCTGTTGATCTATAACCTTGAGGTTGCATTCCTGTGTTTCTTGATGCGAATTTACTAGAGATGGCAAATAGTGATGGTAAAGAAATTTTTAGTTCCACTTCATGCTGGGTGAATTTAACGAGCTGGATAAATATTTATATAGTGAGCTGTTTTGGAAACGAGATTGCCACCTAAGGATCTTACTTCGTGAAGACTTCAAACAAACCTAGTCGACTAAAGTTGGACAGTAGATGAGGCACGCAAAAGCGTTTCCGAAATGTTTGTGTGCCAACCTGTTTAGGAACTTGCTTCCCCTTGGTGATTTCAGCGAATCCTCAGTGGATCGGTCCTAATCCGTTCTAGACGCGAAATGACGCTTTATATCCAGCCAAACAACCTCAATAGATCAAACGACATCGAATCAAAGTCATTCTGATTGGTATTCAAGGCAATCCAAACATCAAATGCAAGATCCTACTACCAGCGATTGCGACTTTACCACAGAACCGTAACTGGTTAGCTATTGACTTAGGTGGGCTGATGGAAGTTAGAAATACTCAGTGATCAAAAGAAATGACCACGTACTTTTGACAGTTCCTGGTGAACGTTTTTCAGTAACTGATCAAACTGATCATTTATTGACTAGGTGCGAACGGATTTACTGTGGTGTCCGTCAAACGTACTGCAGGCAGTTTATTTGAAACTTCTGTTCACTGAATATGTTATCAACATTCCGCCAGAGGAACTTTCACCGGCCTTTTCAAATGACTCACAGTAATCAAATTCGGCATCACCTTCTAAGACATTTCACTATAGTTCTTATACATTTAATGTATTGCAAATATATTCTCCTCATTTTCGTCCACTACCTTACATAATTCTTAAACTTGTTATGATAAGGGAACATTGCTGAAGCTAAGATAATATGGGGCTTGTTTCCAAAACAAATTGTACTTGACGACAGACCATCTGCAGGCACATTCATTGACGCCCATCAAAACTGGTAGTTGATACTGATACTTATGCCCAATAATAGTTGGGCAATAACACGTTCCCTGTGCCCAGTTGCTATGTCGCCCAAAGGAAGCACGAGGGCTGAGATCCTGTAAAGTTACCCAATCCCACAAATGAGTAGTCAAGATACTTGGGTCAGGTTTGAACTAGAGTCTTCCGGTCAGGAAGTTTGTACGTTAGAAGCTGAGCTACCTGGAGCTCAAAAGAACGGGTATACAACAATTGAAAACCACGTCTCCAGCATGAACTTGAAAGCAGTACAAAGAATTGAACTTTTCACTAAATGTCGGGTGTATCTCGTTGTATGTCTTCGGATGTGTATTACTTGACAGTGTCAGACTAATTAATAAAATAAATAAAAAAGAAATGCTCTCATAGCTACTAGCTAGGGAGACCAAACATTTGCAAACTTAGACAGGAACTGACAACTGTTCTTTATTGCACTTTTCCGGGCGCGCAGCTAACACTAAACCAGTCCACATCGGATGTGCGAGTCCAAAGTAGCCAACCTCAAAAGATTAATCTTTGCAGTTCATGTCAGCTATCAGCTCATCTGCAGTTGCCGCGACACTTACACAAATGTAACAGACTGTTGTCTCCTTTAAG